GGGGTCTGTGACCAATGAGTATTACTGTAAACATAAGACCAAAAAATGTTAAAATCCTGCAGATGGTGATTGTTGCATGAATCACATTTCAAGAAAAATTATGTTGACAGCAGCTCATAGTTTCATGTTGACCGCTGAAAGAGAGACATCACTCACTGGAATAAGCAATTGTAACATGTTCAGAAAGCAGAGGAAATCCTCAGGAACAACCAAAGCTCAAATCTGCCATCAACTGGAAACTGCTGGAACAGCAGCGTCACTGAAGTGAACCCAGTTTTATATGCATGGGCTGAAAATCAACACATTTTAGGATAAGAAAATAAGAAGAAAACAAAAAGACAAGATGAATCTTTTAAACCCAGTACCACTGTAGCTTTCTTGTTTCACACATAAAGAGGCATAAAGTAATTGAGTGAATACTGAACAAAAAAAAACTAGTGGTAGTATTTCAATTTCTTCAATTTAGTCTTAAACCAACCGATTCGTGTTTTGTACCACTGTTCAAGAACGCTGGAACAAAGCTGTACTGCTTTTAACATTTATTGTAAGTGAATGTTGTTTCGATAGTATGAGGCGTCTGCTTGGTGACAAGGCAATGCTGTAATTTCAAGTCCAAGCGATAGATGGCAGTATATTTATAACTGCTGCTACAAACACCAGACTCGCAGAAGCAGACGAAGCGCAGAGGAATGAAAGGTTATTCCTTAGGTGAGTGTTTAAAACAGTACGGTTTCAGCTGCTTTTAAAAATGCTGTTAAATTGTTGTTTTCATGGTAAAAGCTTCCGGGTTGTTGCACGTGTAACCTACGAGCACGGGGCGCTCGTGTAGGAACTATTAGTAACTAATAGGTCCTACTTCCGCATAAAACGACTTACTTAAAATGCAACCGAGTATGAAACGTTCAGACAAAACTACACAGGCTTTAGACGGGGTTAGAAAACGCAGCAACTCTAATTATTCCAGGTTTGTTGTTTTTGACGGATTGCTCACGAAGAGGGAACTTCCGGTAACATTTCAAAATAAGTGAATCATCTTCAGACATCTTCATTTAAGCATTTTTTTTGAAAAAAGAATATTTATTTAAAATAATTATTGCAAGTGTTCTACGTAATTGGTTGGGAAATATTTGTAAGAAGTTTTGACATAAGTGACACAAACCTTGATTGAAATTTGCAAGGCTTTTATTTTTGAGAGCTTTGGTTACTTATTTTCAGAATTATTTCACGCGAATGTTGCTGAAGTGCAACATGAACATGTTTACGGGCTGATTATGTTCTTATAAAAACTCATCGACCTGCCTGTGAGGTCAGGATAATAACTTATGACTGACGATTGTTTTTTTTTTTTACCTACCTGATGTTGAGTTGCCAAGGTAACAGCTGTAAAGGAACACTTCCTCAATTTAATCATCAAAAATAATAAAAACTACCAAGTACCAACTACCACATAAACATGTGCAATAACAGCCAGAAGAAAATTAGGCTCAAGAGTTCTTGATACATTTTATGTAGCTGCTTTTTTTATTTTTTAGGTTTTAGGGCTATTTCATTTCTGTCTTTGTGTTTGAGCCTGAGAAGGCCCCATAACATTTGAATTGTGGACTATAATGGACTGGTCAAAGCTTAGTGGTCCAAAACCTCTGACAAAATGTTTAAAAACGTTAAGACTGAATCTCGATCTGGACAGAAAGTCAAACAATCTTAATGAAAAATCATTGCTCAAAGAGGAAAGTAAGCAGTTTAAGACCAGATCAACAACCTAGGCAGTGGAAATATTGAATATTACGCCGAGAGCTTTTCTGATCTTGTATATATTTTTTTATAGTGACAGGTTGGAGCTCCAGCATGCGAAGCCTGGTGCTGGAGGTGCTCGCTATGAGGCAGTTCGGACGGTTGAACCCTCGCCACCTGCTGGCAGCTGGTTATGGACCGAGGAGGACTGAGTGGTGCCCCAGAACCATTCATACACGGCAGCTGTGGGGCTGCTCAACTTTCTCTGCACTTGGTGGTCACCGCCCTGCCCTCAAGACCTGGTCTTTGTACCAGCTGCGATACAAAAGCAGGAAGAAAACTCCTTCACGTGCAGCCCAGGCAGAGGAAGTTGATTCAGAGGATGAAAATGACCCTGAGGAGAGTGATTATGAAGATGAAGATCCTAATTTACCTAAAGACTATAAAGACATGGAGAAATATGTACCGTCTTTCCGCTATGACGTTGTGTTAAAGGCTGGTTTGGATTTAGCTCGCAAGTAAGTCAGAAGATTTAGGTGTTAAGACTTAATTTTGCATATCTGATAAACATTTCCAAGTTTGCAGTGCGGTAACTTTGCTTTGTTCCCCGTTTTCTCTTAAATGTTTCAGATAAGAAAACTAATTTTAAATTAGATAATTTTTGGAAAATCTTAGTAAACACCATTTTCAATTGATAATTTAGTGAAGCACACCATAAGTTTACTTTAGGCTCAAACAGACTGAGGTTTTGCAGCAGGACAATGATCCAAATTAGTTTAAAAAAATGTTATTTAGAAAAAAAAACAACTCATGGCCAGTTACTGTGATTAGGGGGGCAAATGTTTCCATATTTCTCCAAGTTGGTTTGAAGAATTTTGCCTTTATAATTGATATTATGGTGTGTTTAATTAGAAACATGTGACAAAAAGCCAGATAACTGAACTGGGCAGATTATTTTTCAGGGCACTAACTGTAACAGGGAGACTAACTTTCTTCTTCTCACAATAGCAAAATCGAGGATGCGTTCTACAGCAACAAGCTCCGACTAAATGGACAGAAACTAATCAAGAAAAGTAAAACGGTACGTGTCACTATCTGTTGAATAATGCTTCCCTCTGATCCTCTTGCAAAAATTAAACTTTCTTGTTTATCCAGGTTAAAGTTGGGGACACCTTGGACCTCGTGCTGTCAGAGAACAGCGAAGCTAACACCGTCACTCTGATGAGAGTCATCCTCAGAAAGATTTTAGGTGAATCTAATGATGGAGCTAAATACAAAGTTTCCATAAGGAGGTGGAAAAACCTTGAACTTGCCAAGGATGTAGCCTTCAAACCATGAACTTGTAATGAATCTGCAACAAAAGGATAAAAGTGTTCACATGAGTGGGATTTTAAATTCACCTCTAGGTACTTGCTCTCCAGTGATCAGTGTATTTATTAGAAATAGATAAGGTGTGAAAGGAAAGTTTCATTTACTCCCCTCCTCCTTATATCATTTGCCAATAAAAGTGCATTTTAAAGGTGTAAAACGTATTCTGTTTTAATTAGAGTACATTTCTGCAGGTCATGTATACACCTATCAGGGTTTTGTAAGTATGATTATGGGAGTGTTGCTCTGGTCTGTTGTGGTGTAGAAGGAGTTGATCCAATACATCTGATCTGGATGCTTCCCTGTGGTATATCCACTTTCAGAACAGGCCCAGATTTAAATCTTAAATTTATATCACAACAGCTCTAGTAAGTAAAACACCCCAACTGCTTTTTAAAACTGTGTTTATTAGAAATAGGTTATCATGACCCATTGTCATGTTAAATTACCAGAATAACATACACTTCTATAAGAAGGCTCAATGTACAGTCATATGCCCATCAATATTTAGACAAGGACAAAACTCAGGAGCTTTGCTTCTGTACACGACCACAAATTGTTTTAAGATTGATCATTTAACAATTAATTTGGGCTGCATTTTTAGAAACACGATGCCAAATAATAGAAACTTGAGGGGTCACGCTTAAGGTTACAATTTACACTCACTGGCCACTTAAATAAGTACATCTCTTCCAGATTCTAACCTCACCTCATCTGAACACAAATATCAAATTAAACTGAACATCAGAATTGGGATGCAAGTGACTTTAAAAGTCACATGGTTGAGTGTGGGAAGGTTGTGTGGATAAAAACATCATTGCCAGGCTGGTTCAAGATGATAAGAAAGGCAACAGTAGCTCAAATGACCAATAGTTACAGCTGAGGTATGCAGAATAGTGTCTCTGAACAGGGAACTGAGGACACAGTTCACACAGACTTGCTAAAATTGGACAAAACAATTTGGAAAAAAAAGTGACCATTTCAAACAAGACTTGGGTTACACCAGCAGTCTCAAACTGCATTCCTCAAGGGCCAGAGCCCTGCAACGTTTAGATGTCTTTCTGCTTCAGCAAACCTAGCTCCAGTATAAACTCATTAGCAGAGCTCTGTAGCTTCACTGCATGCTAGTGAGACAGTTTCAGAATTTAATTGAAGTGTGCAGGACAAGGGACACATTTAAAAGTGTGCAGGACTCTTTCCCTCGAGGACTGCAGTTTGAAACCACTAGTTTAGGCTGAAACATTTGGATGGTGGGCCAGAATAAAGAAAAAAAACAAACAGCATGGAGCCATCCTGGCTGCTATCAGTGGTTCAGATAAGTGGCAATGGTATGATGGCATGGAGGATGTTTTCTTGGCACAAATTCAGTGACTTAGTACCTTTAATATTGTTTCTGACTTTTCCCCATCTATTTATGACAGTGTATCCATCTACTGATGGCTACTACCAGCAGGATAAAACACAATGTCACGAAGCTCAAATTCTCAAACTGGTTTCTTGACCTCTGCATTTACTGCACCCCAGTCGCCTTCACAGTCACCTACCATCAAGCCAACAGAGAATCTTTGAAATGCAATTTCTAATGGGATGTGGAGCTGAAAAATGCACAACCTGCATGATCCTATTAGGAAAATATGGTCCAAAATCCCAAAGGATTGTTGTCTGTGGCTCCTTCTTGTGTCTGTGCCACATTGAGTTAAGGCAGTTCTGAAGGCAAAATAGGGTCCAACTAACCAACTACTCTCAAGGTGTAATGAACAATCTGGTTAATGAATTAGCACAATTCAATTTGATGTTATTAATTTGAAAATCCCTCGAATCTCGCCCGGTTGCTTAATTTTAAACCCAGTTTTGTTATGTACAGAAAAAAATTCTTTAAAATGTTCTTGTGCAAATACTCATGGACCCATCTGTAAGTACTTTATTATTAAAACTCTGGCGGCACGATGCTACATCAGTAATTACTGCTAATAGAGAAATTGTGACTCTTAATTGTAGCTACTATTGTGGTTATAATGTGGTTTTAAGGCTAGATTTATGAAAGAAATGTGTTAGACAAGCTATGACGGCTCTGACTTATAAACAAGAACAGTTTAACTTTTTAATACATTAGAAAATAAAACTAAAGCCTAAAACATCTGCTGCTGGAGGCAAAAGATAAAACATGAGCTTAAGAATGTTGTGTCAGCTTATATGCGTGTTGACTAACTGTAAAATACTGTAACTATGACACAGTGTTTGACCTTTTGGCCTTTTTAAGAATGTCACACTTCTTGCGGTTCGGCCGCCGGCAGCGTTCGTCAATGCTCGGCACACATTCATAGTGCCACACCTCCTCCATCTTCTCCACGGGGTACACCGCTTCCACGTAATGACGGATCAGCCTCAGCCGGACCGGGTCCAGCTGCTTCTTGTTGCAGGCGCCCGAGTGGTTGTACTGGAGTCGCAAGTTCTCCGGAGTGAACAGCTCCGGGAAAAGGCGCACCAGCAACCGGGCGGCAAAGTTCCCAACAGAAAGGCTCTGCTGGACGACCTCCCGCACCTCAGAGTCCGATAATAGGTAGGCGGAAGATACGGGGAAGTCCGGTTGGGAAATGGTCAGTTTGTCGAGGGGGATCTTACAGAAGTCTTTGCTGCTTTTCTCAGGAGGTAAAGAAGGAATGTCTGAATCCTCTCTAGTGTCTGGGGTGATGTGGTTGATGTGGCAGAGAAATTCCTGCTCTAGCTCTTGGCCACCAACTTTGCGCTGCTGTAGGTAAGATCTTCTCTGCTCCGTATCCCGCCTCCTGCACCTCTCATCCAGTTTGCCCACAAATTCAAGCATCCACACTCTGTCGTTCCTGGCTCGAGGGTAGACCAGCTGCACGTAATGTCGGATCAGATTCACACGCACAGGATCGAGCTGCTTTTTCCCAAGAGAACCACTGCAGTTGTACTGCTTTCTGGTATTCTCATGGGTGAAGAGCTCAGGAAACATGAGCACCAGCAGGCGTGAGGCAAAGTTGCCAATGGACAAGCTACATTCATAGTTGCTTTTCAGCTGCTCTCTCGATAAAATGTACTCCTGGGGAACGCTGAAGTCAGGTGGAGGAATCTTCAGATTTTCAAAATCCACGGCTGTGAGCAGCGACTTCTTGGACTTGCGATAAGGTCTTTCAAATTCACCGACTTCTGGAGTCCTGATGACAGGAAGGTCTTCCTGAAAGCCGGCCAGGTCGTAGCCATCGTAGTTGATGTTGTCGGATTCACTTCCGTTCCCATTGCTGTGTGGCCCTTCCAGTGTGTCCTCCATATGCTGAATGCACAACTGAAGCCAGCTGTCCTCAGGTACATCAGGAAAATTTGCTTCCATGTACTTCCTCAAGATCTCCATCTTGTCAGAGTCCAGAATGAGCTGACCCACATTACTATAATTGCTGGAGACTTCGGAAATTTTCCCCTCTTCAAAAATCTCTGGGAAGAGACGATGCATGAGGAAAATCACAAAATCTTCTGGCGAGGAGAAGTCGTCCTGCTCTTCTGCAGCTTGAGTATTTAACCCATTGTCGGTCACTGGCAGGCTACCTTGCTGGTTATCCAGGGATAGATCCTCCTCCTGACCCTGTTCATTAATGAATCGATACGTCTGAGGAAACTCCACTTTCATCTCATCACCAGTGACCGCCTGCTTCTTGATGAGCCGTGCGCTTTCCATGTCCCTCTGTGCCCAGAAACGATTAAAAAAGTCATTGATCTGAAGGAGGCACTCCTCCTGCCAGACACTGTTGTTTTTCACAGAGGGATAACAAACCTCCACGTAGTTCCGAATCAGCTGCAGGTGCAGAGATTCCAGCGCTCTCTTGCTTGCCATGCAGTCATGGGGGCACTCCTTGGCTTTGAACAGCTCTGGAAAAAGGTGGACAAGCAGCTGGCAGCTGAGCTCGCCGGCACTGGAGGTGTGCTCCATCAGCTGATTGAGTTCATCATTCGTTAGGAGATATTCAGGTGGAGGCTGGAAGTCTGCCATCCTCTCAGCAGGCTTGATCTGCTTCTTTATTCGCATGACTTCCAGCGTTAGCAAGTCCACTTTACTGTGCAGCTGAGTCATGCTTGAGTTCAGGGTATTGAGGATGAAAAACATTTTCTCAATCAGTGGGTAAAGGTTTGACTCTGTTGCTGACGTCTGACCCAAGGACTCTGTGGCGGTGAGGACGTCACTTTGGCCGTTTATTTCTGGACTTTGGAGCTTCTGTGAAAAGATGCTGCTGAAGCTGAGCTGACTCAAGCCGCCGTGGTTAGCCTGCTGATCCAGACTCGGTGGATTTCTCTTGTCTGAAATCCTGTGAGAGATGCTGAAAAGAGGCTTTCTGTAGGAAAGCCTCGATCTCTCCTGGATACAGTGGGCCTTTTCTCCAGCCACGGTGAGGCAAAGAGGCTCATGCCTGAGGCTCTCATCTGTCCGACACTTCCTCACCTACAATGAACAAACACCTTTAGAATAAATGCCCACCAAACAGATATACAGATAAAGTATATTTCACATGTTGTTGTTTTTTTATCTTTTAATTCCAAACAGGCAGTCTGTCTTGTTATCTCTTAAAATGGTTTGGAAAAATGCTTCTTCAGGCAGGATGTATGGTTAGCATATGGCATTTAATTACAATCTTTTCAAGTATTCTTAATCTTCTGTAGGTTAGTTTGTGGTATTTCCAGATTTAGACTTAAATTATTATAGATCTCTCCTCTTCTAAACCAGTTCTTAGCTCACTTGGTTTTATTTGTTGGTTACAGATAAATACTTATAATATATAGCTGTTTGAAGGAAAATTTAAAGTGAATTTTAAAAAAAGAGTCAAAGTGAAAACAACAACAAAACAATGAAAGACCATTAAAGCCTCTAAAACTATTGATAAGGACCACCTTAAAAGATTAACAGCTTTTGGAAGATGAAGCATGAGAAAATAAAAATTGGTTAAGTAATTTAGTCTTGGATTTTTTTTTTTTTTACCTCAGAGCAGACTCTGGCTCTTTTATTACTGGTGGACTGATGTGTCTCAGTGGACGACCTTTTATTGGCCTCTGACACTTCAGGAGACCCTCCTTCATGTGCTTGAGTTTGGTCACAAACAGAAAAATCTTCTTTCTCCTTTTTAACATCCTGAATGTGCTGATGTTCTGTAAATAATCCCAGGATTAGAATAAATTAACGCAGCTACACCACACCACAGATAAAGATGTTTGTGACTTACCTTTCTCAAGCATTGCTTCATTTGAATTTCCTCCATCCTCACAGGAACTCATGGCCTAGAAAAAGCAAAAGCAAATGCGTCACAAAAAAAAAACCCAACCATGGATAAAGCGACACAGCCAAACCAATCACATGAGCATTAAAATATTAAGAAACTGAATGTGTACACTTGTGCAGACTCCAAATATTCTAAATGAGTACTTAAATTGAGACATGATAATAAAAAAGAAAGGAACCTCTATACAAAATTAAAGCAGAAAGTCATACGTTTTGTATTTGGAAACTGTGCATGCAGACTCAATTAAAAAAAAGTAGATATCACATTGATTTTAGTTAGCTGTGTAGATTGATTAGATGCACATTAATTTGATGCAAATATCTTAAATAAAATAAGTTTCATTGTCGCAATGCACAGAATAATTGATATTGATATCAGTGATTAATATAATTGCCCTGTGTTAACTAAAAAGTTAGCACAGTGCATTACTATGGCTTGACATGAAAGAAAACTGAAGTTTTAGATGTATGTGAGACTTTTCAGACTCGATGTGGTTTAGTTATCTGATCAGAATGCATTCCTTTACAGGTTTTCTGCAAATGTTCCTCTGGGGAAGAGAGCTCAAAGCCGAACCAGATATTCTACCGTAGAGGTGCCCAAAGTTGGTCCTCGAGGCCGGGCATCCTGCATGTTTTAGTTCTCACCCTGGTTTAAAGTACCTGGATCAAATGATGGCTCATTAGAACGCCAAAGAAGAACATTGACATGCTTAAAAGGTTATTACCAGCAGGGAGAGAACTAAAACAAGCTTTATACACACACCCCTGTTCTACTGTATTTACAAGGAAGTCAAAATCAGTTGTTTGGACATATTTCTGATTGCAAACGAAAGCAAAACGTATTGTAGAAGCAAGGCTAAATTGCACTGAATAAAATGTTTAAGATGTTCTACAAAATTATGCCAAAAGCTCAGATTCAGTTCAAGAAAGGGGTTTTAAAAGTAAATTTTGTTTATCAAAGAAGAATGGATCCAAATTCAGCAGGAGGGACGACGACGCACAGCAACAGACTAGTGCAAAGTGGGAGTGGTAAAGTCTCTAAGAGTCCTCTGTGGCGCAAACAGTGGCGCATCCTGATTCAATCAAAGCGGGAGGTTGCTGCTTCTGCAAAACATGTGGTCAGATGTAGAAAAAAAGAAGAGATCTAGTATAAGCTATGACCAACACCAATAACAGTTTTGTCCTCTGCCAGTCAGAATAATGTACTTTTTCTTTTTTATTGCAGCACACATTAAGAAAATTAAGGATGTTTCTGGAGTCCATGTTATCTCATCCCTGTCTTCTCATTTACATCAACCAGCTACTTCCTCATTCTTCCGCCCAGGACCGTTTGAATACAAACCCACAAGGAAACAGTCGGAATGTGACACTTTCCATCCCAATCACGAGGCAAAAAACTTGCTCCTTGCGCCGAGAGATGAAATGGGGCCCCATCACCTGTGCTTTGTGACCGTTAATGACTCGGTGACGTTAGCGTGGAGGAGTCGCGGTGAATTAACGGTGAAACGCGCGTGACCGGCGGTTGGAACTAACCTTTCCGACTCCATGTCATCCATAAGGAGGGTTAGCAAAGCGCCGGACATGTCCGTGGACTGCAGGTGCTTCCGTTCAAAATGTAATAGTTGAGTTGTAGTTGATGTTTTTGTTTTGTTTTCCTTTTCTCGCTCGGCTTCTCGGCAGCGTCGCGTGACGTGACGTAACGGTAGGAGGCGCGCGCTTGCTGTGTCACTTCCGCTAACCCACGGAGACGAAGCTAATGAGTGTTACACAATTATAAATATTAGATACATGTAATTAGCCTGTTTTTAATGGTGTGAAAAGCTTTTTAGGAAGGCTCCTGTTCATTTGAATTGTTTGAACACAATTCAATGAGTTCCAGCTGCAGAATGCTTTTTTTTTGCTCTACCTTTACACTGGAGGTAAACTACTACTTTTCAGCAGTACAAAATACATCACATAGATGAGCAAAGAGGTTATTTTCTGGAAAATAAAAATAAATTAAATAAACGGTGAACTCTGTGAAAAAACAAAAATCCCAGCATCCTCAAAGCATCTCTTTAGTTATTAACTAAAGTAACCATGAAAGGTGGTATTTAAATTATGGTAAATTCTAGAAAATAAGTTTCAGTTTGTTGACAGTAGTAGATTACTAGTCATGGTGCACAGCCCTCCACTTGTAGACTTTTTGACCTTTTCCTGTGCACTTCCACTGTTTTGTGGCTTGTGATGTCACCAGTGACAGTGAAAAACGCATTTATTGACAAACCAACCAGAGTCACAACTGGAAAGAAGTCATGGGATTCAATGTTACAACTGTAATAAATAAAGATCATCAGAAAATGAGAGCGATTAGTATTTAGTTTCAACAACTTAGTATACAAACTAATGGTTTAAACAGAAAAGGTTTGTGTGATTTAATGAATCAGAAATCAATTTGAGTTTCCTTGAGAAACTCAAATTGAGCTGAGCCCTATCGAACACTATGGTGGAGTTTTTTTTTTTTTTTTACTTTTAACAACTATTTTTCAGAAAATGTCAAAATCACACTTGAGTGCCTTTCAAACCTCATCATTTTTCAACATTCCATATTGAGATCAGGAGAACTGATCGAGGAGAAAATAAATGTAAGAAATAACGATTTACCTGAATTAGCCACTGGGTCTTCAGAGGATGAACTTGTAAACTTTAAATTCTGCATCTCTGACTCTGATCACAGCATCACAGTGTTTCTTCCGTATACATCTAATTCCACAAGTTATTAGAAGCACCACTCATTTTTCAAATATTTGAAATAGTTTCAAATTAAAGGATAAAAATGCAGATTTATAAAAAAAGAAATCAAAAATGTTTTTTCCCCCCAAATCCCCCAGCTTTCATCTGTTTTTATATAAATTACATTGGATACAACTCCTGGGTTGTATCTTTTTAAATTATTTCTATAAGAACAATTTAAATGTCAACATAAGTTTATATTTTGAAATTTATTAGAGACGCTGTTAGGACAACATTAGAACACCCTCAACAACCATCTTAGGTTTCCTTACACTGGCTTTTTAGTGTGATGTATTTTTTATTAATTTGAGAAATACTAATAAATAAAATAGAAATAAAAAATTAGCCTGTAGTAAAGAACTCCAACTGTGTGTTGGTGTGAAGGTGCTGAACTTTCAACATGCTATGGACCTACACACAGCTGTGGTATTTTTGGCCATGGTGGCTCACCATGAACATGAGAAGGCGCATGACATGCCAGAGCCTATACGTGTACGTGTTGTATTGTTTCAAAAATGGAAATAAAGTGCAACAGCCGACAAGGAAGAGAGTAGTAGTTTAAAAACTGACATGCTTTTTAACTTGCAGATTTTCATCTTGGGGACAGATGACCTCAGTGTCACAGTTCCCATCTTGAAGTGAAAGTGGGTGTGAAAGAGATGTCTTTTCAGTGTTACGAAAATATTCAATTATACCTGTAAGAGGACCACATATCCATGTAAAATGAAATGCTCCTCCTCAAAGTGGCATCTTAAAGAATAAAAAACAGAGAATTCCACTAGTGTCATTTCTCTGGTTACCAACGATAATTCACAGAGCAAATATTTCACTAATATTACATGATAATAACTGTAACGTAATAACGTGGTAACTGTAGCTTCACGACCACATAAAATAAGACTAGGTTGGACACCACATAGTCTATTCATAGCATTATTTGAAAACAAAGGCTATAATTAAAGGCTATGCACAGAGAAACACACATGAAACATATAAACAATGACAAAAAATAAACTACACGTGCTATGTTTATTTTTCAAAACGTTTTTTCATACACTTGAAATACTAAAAGTCTTACATTTTAAATCAAGACGGTAGAAGAAGCGTTTTCCACAGAATAACCGATGATGGACAACATCGCCCTCAAGTGCTCGGTGACGGAAACTACATGTTTTCATTCATCGCCTTATTGAAACACTGGTAGTGGATTTCTACTATGGCAAGCAGCTCAAAAGTGTAAAATGTATTTCTGTGCTTAAGTTGTGTCTGTCTCTGTAACTAGTGATAATCGCCACCATCATTCATGAACCCTTTTAGAAACATAAAAAAAAAAGAAATATCCTGAAAAAGGATTAAAGGTGATGGAAGCTTCATCCCAGGAGGCTGTGAATCATTTTGATGCAGCTCTTCTGTCAGAAAATAAATCACTGCGCAATGTCTAAAACTGAAAGACAACTGATTCCGTAATTAATGGCATAAGCTGATGGCAGCTGAAACTTTCTTAAGCAAATAATCAATTAGTTGGCCGAAGCAGATGTACTGCGATGCATTAAACAGGACCTGAGCCGAGCACCAAACCCTCTGAAGCCAGAAGACCTCCCTAAACCATAATCCTGTGTTAATCATCTACTTCATGCACTCAGTCCATGTTCTTTCTCCAGCCACAAATATGTCGACACAGAGATGATATAACAAGACAACGTGTGGCTCTCATTATTCCACTAATGAGCTGTCTCCATGGTAGTCTGATCTGTCAGCCAATGAAGCGAGCAGCCTTCATTCGGGAGGGGATGGATATGTGGGAGGGTTTTGGGGGGGGGAGCATGGGCCAGGGTCAGCCAGGCGGCGGCTAGGGATGAGGGGCCGGCGGGCAGCACTTAACGCGGGGAAGAGCTCGTTAAAGTGTCATTTTTGGCCAATATGCTCATTGGTGTCGAAGAGGCCAATCAGCCGTACTGCTCCCATCTGAGCAGAATGACTTTCATCCATCACTGTCTGCTCTGTGATGATATTAGCAGGTGTTTACTGATAGGCCATTCAGAGGAAGACAAATGGAGATCCTGACGTCCTCGTACTCAAGCAGTCATTTTATATAGACTTATTCCTTATGGGGTCAGAGAACTGGGGGCTGCAGGAGATCCATCGCCTTTGTGAATTAATAAAGGAAGAGGTTAAACATCATTTTAAGCACTGATGAAAAATGGTCCACATTTGAACAGTTGGAAAACCAAAACCAGACTGAAAGTGAGATTTAGCAGTAAATCTTAAGACACTTGAACACAGGTTCTGAATGGAGTTACAGTGACCAGGATGAAAACACAGAAATCGCCACCAAATTGATAGTTAGAAGAAACCTGTGTTTTTGCTACAGGGTTTCAGTGCATTAATATTTCTATCCTTTTTAGAGACCTTTTTTTCAAAGTGACATATATAATAATAAAAAAATAAATATCCAAAGCAGTTTAACTTCATCACTTACTAAAAGTCAAAACTTACAAAGTAACGCAAAGTTAAACACCGGCTGCTTTTGACGCTGACATGTGAGTCAATGGCTATTTTGTTGTTAAAGCCTTTTGGGCAACATCAAGAAATAAACTGATTATGGGTCAGCTGTGTCATCTAATCATAAAGGTGATTAAGTTTTCTCAGCAATTGATATTTAGAAAAATTGAGGATTAAATACAATCTGATTTGCTTCTTCTAAAATAGTACAATTTTGTAATAAGAATGTACTAAAGGAGATTCATCACCATTTATAACTCTTTGAAAGATTTTTGAATTTATATGAGTTACAGCAAGATTTCTAGCACATACTGCTATTTTATTGCACAATCAAGTAATTGGGTTACCTTCAGTTGTTATAAATAAGATGCATACACACCAAATATGACTTAAAAGAGTCATATTTATCTCATAGGTCATGAAACTGGCCTTTGTGAACAGGTCAATTGACAAGTGGCCTTTAAGAAGCACCTGCTCTTTCTGACACTCCACCTCCAGCATGTCATCACAGCACAGCCTGTTACCTTAATAATCTTTTTAAAATAAAAACCAGGACAAAGTTTTAAGATGTTTGGCAATTACTCTGCTGTTGCTAGTCTGGAGGAGCTGAGTGGGGGAGTCATTCAGCTCCCCTGCTGAGATGCATTGCTGCTATTTCTTAAACATGAAAGAATCAAAGCAACACTACAGGTATGTTTTTGATGAGGTAATAAAATCATTCCATGATGTAAAACTAAAAACAAATTTTTTTTACATACCCCTCCTTAAAAGGGCATCCATATACAATCAGTTTTCTAAGGGGGAAACTTCAATTTGGTGAAAAGTAGACTTTATGATACTTAATTGAAGTCTAAAAGACTGGGTGATTTCTGAAGGAGAGTGTGTGTGTGTGTGTGTGTGTGTGTCCGACGGAGCTGACCGAGTCTCTCTCTGCCGGACCCGGCTGTAATTTCACCGCTCACCGTCTGGGACCAGCCAGCCACACTCAGGCCGCTGTTCCCGCCTCATGTTTTGGATGTAAACTCAGAGCTTTTCCAGCTCCTGCTCTCCTAATACCCAGGACTCTAAAACTGGAAAAGCAAACACACAGTCTGGTTCCTGCCATATAAAACTGAAAAAAAGTCCTCCATTTTCTCTCTTTCTCACCTAAATTTGAGGAGATTAATGCTGGCAGCAGAATCTTTTCTAGGAATAAAAATAAAAAACCCTCACGGTTTCTGCTTCACATTAAACATTCAGCTCTACCGCTGCAGGAACTGTTTTCTCCCGAAGATGAAGCCAAAGAAGTTCATCCTATCAAACTCTTCTTCTGCAACACCTGCTTCATTCCTAATGGGAGCAACAGTTTCACAGCTTTGACCAGCCTTCACCCACCAAAAAAAGTTTTGTTTGGTAACTGTATTTGTCATTCTGACTGTGTCCCAGCCTCTCTTCTTGTTTTTTGGTCCTTTTAATTTTCCATGTAACTTTCCTCATGTCTCCTCACGGCGAGGATGAATATTTCATGAAGAGCCCGAGGCTTTCCCTGGCCCGAGGAGAACCTCGCTGTACCCACGAAGCCGAACCAGAAAAGGATGTGGAAGGACAACAGACAAAACGGAAGGCGAATTTTTAAGACGCTTCACTCCACCTCCCTTTTCTGACCTCTTTTCAGTCATCCGCCTCCGTTTGTCCATCACGCTTACATGCGCCTTCCACCTTTTGGTCTGCAGGAATTCTCACATGCACTTTCTACAAACCTTAGAAGTTTTCCCATCATCAGGATTCAATCAAACTTTTCCTTTATTTTTTGGGACTGCTCGTCGATTACTGCTTCCTTTACATCATAATATTTGTGTTTGCAAACGCTTTGGTTCACTTTGGTTGAACGTCCGGACATGTGAACAGAGCGTTGCAGGTGCTGATAAGAGAGGTTGATAAAACAAGAGGAGGAACTTGATTGCTGAAATTCTCTGTAAGAGGGAAAAATTTTACTTTCAACTGGAATCCAGCAGTTTGAGTCATATCTAAACAAACAGTAATACTATACAAACTCCCATTACTTGAAAAAATAGGAAATTATCCACAGTGTAAATTTCTGGCCTAAAGCAGATTCTTATTCTCTTGTTCTTTATTTTTGTTTTTGCATTTTCATCATGAAGCTCTTTTGGGGGTTTCTAAATTTAAAAAGTGTTTTAGAAGTAAACTTTGTGTGCTTACTTTCCCTTAAAACTTCTAAAGAAAATACAAAAACAAAAATAACTGTTGATCTCTGTTTCTGAGTTGTTAAAGGAAAGTACAATATAGCAAAGCACTTAAGCTGTCCCAACATTTATAAAATATGTTGCAGCCAGTAAATGAAAGTATCAGAGAACCTCTGGACAATTTAACTCTTTTAGTCATGAAGAAAAAAAAAACATATTGGTTGAATATCCGAATATCAGTTTTCCTTGATCTTCAAGGAAAATTAGAAATTGGAAAAAATTATGAATGGTGCATCCATTAACTGTTACCTTTCTGTCTAAAACATTGAACAAAGGCCACCAGTAGAAAGAAATCTTAAAAGTAAGATAAAAAACAGGACATAGTTTTAAAATAATCTCCATTCACATTTTTATTTTCTTTGTACCGTAA